GCACTTTGGGGGCATGGAAAATGGGGTGGAGAGAGAAGAGAACAAATAGAGAGAGCTCGTCTGTCCCCGAAAGAAGCCGAGCACCCAGCCACTTCATCTCCTTTACCACAAAGCCACAGCCACGCTGCGACAATGGCTGGAGGTATTAATAACCACTGCTGGTAAGTCTGGGTCCAGCAGACAGCAACTTCGTGACCTTTGAGTTGACTTTGCCTCCCTGTCTCTCCCCACCCACGCTTCTCTACTCAGGGGCTGAAAATCTGGCTTTCTCGTAACTCACTTTTAACACTCACGCAGGGAATAACACTGCTAGTAAGAGGTGAACCCTGAGGACAGCAGGTGGGGACACAAACATTCCCCGGGAACCCGCATGGGTAATGTGACAGATCAGGACAATGTTGTCTTGAGCCCATTTCTTGCTTCATTGGGCCTTCCTGCAGTCAGGGCTTTCCCTGGGACATTGTTGACCTAAATCAGAGTAACGTTTCGTGACCTTTGAGTTGACTTTGCCTCCCTGTCTCTCCCCACCCACGCTTCTCTACTCAGGGGCTGAAAATCTGGCTTTCTCGTAACTCACTTTTAACACTCACGCAGGGAATAACACTGCTAGTAAGAGGTGAACCCTGAGGACAGCAGGTGGGGACACAAACATTCCCCGGGAACCCGCATGGTAATGTGACAGATCAGGACAATGTTGTCTTGAGCCCATTTCTTGCTTCATTGGGCCTTCCTGCAGTCAGGGCTTTCCCTGGGACATTGTTGACCTAAATCAGAGTAACGTGCAATGCCACCCTCACACCGAGGTAACGGAGGTTCCTGCTCTGGGCTCCACACTATGAGGACCGGCCCTGGCCTTCCTCCTGCTGTAGCCCTATCTGTGGGGCAAGGAGTGTTAGGATGGAGACATGCCTACCCAGAGCCCTCTGTCATCTTGTAGACTGTGCTCCATACACCAGGATACCAGAGTCCCCCAAGTGGCCCTCAGCTGGCCTTCTTCCTGGGTATTTCTTCCAAGGGTGGACCAGACCACTGGTATATGTGTCGAGGTGGCTAAGGGACAGCTGCCTGCAGGGACAAAGTGTGGATGGAACCTGGTCTAGAGGCTGGCCTGCCTGCCAACGTGGACTTGAGGCCACTGTGGTTTAGGCAGAGCCAGGGGAGGGACGAGAGCAGTCTGAGGGCTGTTTATCCTTTACAACCTTATGCTAAAGTAAATTCTAAAGCATCTAAGAATTCTAAATTCAAACTTGCCCTTTCAGGTTGGGATGAAGTCTTTTTTTTTTTTTTAGTTTTCTATTTTGCTAAGAGTACGTGCACTTGCAAGAGAGAGACAGTGAGACAGAGAGAGGGAGGGAGAAAATACTCCCCAACTGGGCAAGGTCATGTCATAATCTGTTCTCGATTTCTCCATCCTGTCTGGTTTTAGGGCACACACACACACACACACACACACACACACACATGTGTCCAGCATGTTTTTCAAGGTGTCAGGGCCAGGATTCAAACCGCAGAGTTGGGCACATAGAATCCATCCACTCAACCAGTAGGGTGAGTCCAGCATAAATATATCTTCATCAAGGTAGAAAAGAATGTATTCTGAGAACAATGCATAAGCCTGATTTGTAAAATTTAAACTTAGATGTAGGGTATGTGGCCTCTGCCTGTACTCTTGTCCTAGGCCCTATGAATGTTAGAGCCAGATCTGACCCACCAACAGGTTTTGTTTGATCTGAAGACTGTTTTAAAAACTGAGAGAGTTTGGGGTCAGCAGATGGTGGTTAAGGTGCTGGATTTCCACATAGTCGACAGTGGTTCAATCCTGGACCTAGCAGCTTGAAAAATCTCCTGATTTTGTGCATGGCATGCCCAAAATCTCAGAAGAAGACTGGAGAAGGAGGGATTGTGGCATAGCCATCTCCCATTGGGGGTGATTTCTTACGCCCTACCTCTGTTGCTGTCTATCTCTCTGTCTCTCTTCAGTGAATACACGTGCCCTATGGGGGAAAAAAAAGAGAAAAAGAGAAGAAAAAGAAAAAGAAATAAAATAAGGTAAGCTATTTTTTTTTTTTTGAGAGGTTTTTGCTACAGGACGCGTGCACTCGCCAGACAGACAGAGAGAGACAGAGAGACAGAAAGCGAGAAATCACCCCCCAGGGGGGATGGCCACGCTGCAATCCCTTCTCCTCCATTCTCCTCTCGGGATCTTGGTCATGCACGCACACGCGCCCGGCGTGAGTTTAAACAACCGGGTCCGGGACTCGAAACATGGTCAACTATGTGGGAGTCCAGCAACATAGCCATTACACTAACCACTGGTCCTAAGTTATTTTTTTAAATGGAGAAAGTTCATGTTGAAATTCTGACTTTTGACATTTCTTCACAGATTGGAAGGTATGGAGCAATGGGCCTGAATTCCCACATGATAGCACTGGAGAGACCTGGAAGGCAGCTGCATACTCGCTCCTGTTTGCCACAATCCCCACCACTCCCCCTTGTATTATGTCTGAGTCTCATGCAATTCCAGTGCCTGCCCGAGCCTGGAGTCTTTTGAGTGTAGGTCAGCTGACCCACCAGCTTGAGAGCCGTCCCTGTCATGGGTAGGAGGCTGGGACAGAGCCTGTTTGGTGAGATATGGAGGGCAGGTTCATGGCCACCTCTTTGATTTTCCTGTGTGGCCATAAAGTCAGCATGAAGTTTGCCCCAGGCTGGGTCGTCTGCTGCCTCTACCAGTCTGAACAGAAAAGAGAAGTGGAACTGCCTGGGTTCATTAGAAAGTGGAGAAAGAAAGGGGAAGAAAGGTCCTTGCTGAGAGATGGGAAAAGTGCACGTGAGCGCTGCATTTCTAGTTCTGGCCCTCAATGCCATTGAGAAGATGCTTCGCACAGGTCATGTGCCTTCTGTGGGGATTTCTGGGGGGAATCACAGTGCTAGAGCAGGGACGGGGGGATCTCTGTTTGGAAGGAGGGCTGCCTATGAGAGGCCAGGCCCTGGCAGAATTAGCTGCAAAGAGGACTGGACCGACCCAAAGTTCTACTTATTTTTTGTTTGTTTTAAATCATTATTTTATTATTGTTATTATTATTATTGTTATTTTATTTGACTGAAGAGAGGCACAGAGAGAGGGAGAGTGAGAAAGCAAGCTGCCAGGCCCGGGACTCGAACCATGGTCAGCCATGGGGCAATCCAGAGCCTCTACCACCATACCACCTTCTGGCCCCCAAAGTTATACTTCTTAAACCTATGAAAGGAAAACAAATTCCATTCAGCACATGCAATCTTTGAAGAGACTGTTCTAGAGAGGCGGGGGGGAGGTGGACAGAGAATTAGCTATGAAAATCCAGCTCCTGATGGAAACTGATGAGCAAAATCACTACCTCACACCCTGGTCCACATCCAGTCTTGCCTACTTGGACAACGTATGTTGAGAGACCAAAGGTTAAAATGCCAGATTTGTATTGGAAGAGATGCTAGTATTTGGGCAGGCCTTCTGGGCTGTCTCCCCAGGTTCTGAACTACGGGGCTCAGCCTAGTTCTCTCACCCTGGCAGCCATGGGCAATGGCTTCATGGTGAGAGCCCTGATGGCTGCAGTGTGTTTTCAGGGACCTTTGGCCTGGGCTCCTCCCAGAGGTAGGCCATAGGAGACAAAGTGACCACATGCTGGACATGACTTTTCTAGGCCTCTATGGACATTAGTAATCACAATAACCCAACACAGGTGACATCCCAGAGGGTAGGAGAGACATGTGCAGGGGAGTACCACGGTGGAAACCTGGCTTCAAACAGCCAGAGCTGTCAGGGGCATGTCGGGGAGGCGCTGACACAGGGTACATGGCCCACTCCTCCCTTCGTCTTGAGGTGGCTGCCACCAGGAGGCAGTGACAGGGGTGAGATAGGGCAGCTGCTTGCAGGGCTGTACCAGATGCCTGGCACAGTGGTCCCTGTTGTCCTTGTTCCCTGCTGCAGCCTCTGCAATGGCTCTGGGCAGTGGTGAGGGCAAGGCTGTGACAGGCAGGCTGGTAGGCACCCAGTCTGAGGACGTCCAAAGATTATCAGAGGAGGGAAATGGAGCAGACTGGCTTCAGGCACCATCAGCCCGTAAACAGCCCTGTGTTACCTGAGCCCCTAGGTGCCCTCCAAGTGCTGAAATGGCAGCCCGCAGAGCCTTATGGAGACAAGCAGGCATGTGTTCCTTGTCTGCTTTCTAAGGAGGCTCCCACAGGGCATGGACACCCACCAGCAGGGAAGTCCCTATGCGGGCCCAGTGGTGCTGTGGTGGTAAAACATGACCCTCTGCAAGTCTGACCCATGTGGGAAGGTTCCAGATTTGCTTCCATAGACCGCCCTGAGGATCTAGGCCTAGTTGAGGCTGGTGGTGAATCCCAGAGGCATGACCCTGCTGGGCTTCTCTCTCCATTTCACTCACAGAGAAAGGAAGAAACTTTTCATTTTTGTTAAAGAAAGTCCCTGTGGACCTAGCCGCACCTTGCCCCTGTAGAGTGTCAGGGCAGCGCTGCCTCAAATGCAAGGGGCTCCCTTGGTGTTACTGCAGTGGCAGCAGGGGCCTGGTGCACAGCGTCCTGGAGACCTGGCAGTCTGACTGAGCCAGCTGTCTGGGCAAGCACAGCGGCCAGTGGGAGAGGGCAGGATCAGCTCGGCCTACCCCCTTGCCCATGATGGCATGCTGCATTCGTCCTCCCCCGGCCAAAGAACTACCGCTGACAATCTAGAAAGCATAAGGCACCGAGGAAGGAAGGCGGGAGGTCAGGGTGAGGGGATCTCAGGAACAAAATTGAGAAAACACCTACAGAGAGGGATGCTTTGACAAAAGCCAGCTTCCCACATACATGAACAAACTGTGGAAAAGAAAAGGTGTCTCAGGATCCCACGAGCTCTTCAAGGGGACTTGAGGCCAAGACCTGCAGAACAACCCACATTTATGGGGTCCAGTTTTAAGAAGGGCCCCAGAAGGAGGGAAAAAGCTTGTCAGACAGGTTTCTTTTAAAACATTTATTTAAAAAAATAAGCCTGTTTTGCTCTCCTCCCTCTGTGCGGTGGGGCTCCAGCCTCCTGTGTGACACTCCTTTGCCCTGGGCCTCCCCTACACTGCCGGGAGGCCTGGCATTCCTATGGCGTCCCAGCCCTTGTGTCCAATCCTGGCGCAGGCCTCTGGCGCCGGGTCTCCAGATGGAAGGAGAGTTCTGAGGAGTGAGGGCAGCCTGGCCACAGTCCGTGTGTCCCTCTGAGGCCCACCACAGCAGCCAGGACTGGCCGGGCTGGGGGCCGTGCTCTCGCCTGGTCCTGAAGCTCAGGGCTGGAAGCGCGGGGAGCTGACGTGGGGCTGGTGGAAGGCGTGGGCGCTGTACACCACCTCGGGTGGCGAGGGCGTGCTGCTGGCCAGCACCGAGCACAGCGGTTCGTGGCTGCTCAGCACCGACGTGAAGTACTTCATCTCCTCCGTGAGCTGCTTGATCTCCTTCCTCAGGGCTGCGTTCTGTTTTTCCAGGTCTTCGCTCTCCTGTGGGAGGGAGAGAGGCACCGACCGTTAATGCTGGGCGACTGCAAAGTGGGCAGGGCAGGGCAGGCATGGTGAGATTTTCATGAGCTCAGCCATGCAGAGTTTTCAATGTGCATGCACACGTGTTTGTATGTGTGCGTGGGCATCTTTGTAAGCACAGGTATATGTATGTATGACATTAGGTTGAACCACATGGAACTGCTGATATTTGTCTATTTTGACCGAAAAATATAGTAATTTCATGTGAGTCATCCTAACAGAGGTATATAGGTAAGTGTGCTCCTCTGTGTGTGTGTGTGTGCACATGCGCACGTGCATGGGTCTCTGTGAGTGTGTCTGTGGGCTGAGAGTGGCCAGTATGTGCCCAGGGAAACTGGTGAGGTGGCCAGAACCTGAGAAATGGGACAGTCTGTGAGAACAGCTGAGCCCAGTTCCACTCCTTCCCACTATTCTATTTACTGTGTTCTCCAAATGTGCCTGGTGTTTGCATAGGCTGACAGAGTCCATGGCTAACTGTCTACTTCGCCTGGATGCTGGAGCACGGCCTTCGTAAATATCGCATGGTCAAAGTCTGCCACAGAATTCAACACCCCCCACCCCAGGCAGGTTTTACTGTGCGTAGTGCCTCCCAAGCCCTTGTGTTTTCCTTTTTTCAGAAACATCTGTCCTTCACGGCTTGGGGGACTCACCAGACAGGCTAATTAGGAAAGCTCAGAATAGGGAGTATTGATTCCTAATCATGTCATTAACCAACAATTACATTCCAGTAATTAGTCTTACTGAAAAGCAATCCCGCTTTCAGAAAGCCCAGAGGAATTGTATTGCCAACATGATTTTAAGGTTCATGTTCCTCTGTGACCAAAAGATGGTGTAATAGTTACATCTCTGGAATCCCACATGGCCAACTGCGGTTCAAGTCCCAGACCCGGAAGTTTGAAACTCACACCAGGTGCATGTGCATGCATGCCCAAAATCTCCTAGGGAAGAATGGAGGAGAAGGGATCGCAGCATGGCCATCTCCTGGGAGTGATTTCTCACTTTCACTGTCTCTGTCTTTCTCTGTCTCTTCGGTGGGTGCATGTACCCTATAATAAAAATCTCTCAAAGAAAAAAAAAAAGGTTCATGTTCCTCGACTCAATCAAACAAACCTTCTCTGCTAAGAATGGATTCCCACGGAGGAAGGGGAAATGGCGTTGGAGATGCAAATAAATTGCATTTCAGTTCAAAAATCAGCCTAATGTTTGGAGATAGGGTCTTGCTTTTCTAGTTCTATTTGGTTTAGATCAGCATTATTTCCCAACCTTGCCATATCATGGCATTAATTCGAAGGCTTGTTGAAAATACAATTTCAAGTCCTTCCCAAAATCTAGAGATAAAAACTCAGTGAGTTTGGAATTTGTGGCGTGAGATCTGGGAATCTTTTTTTTTTTGATAGAGATTTTTACTATAAGATGTGTGTACTTGCTGGAGAGACAGAAAGAGACAGAGAGACAGAAAGTGAGAAATCACCGCCTGGGGACATGGCCACACTGCAATCCTTTCTCCTCCATTTTCCCCTTGGGATTATGGGGATACATGCACACACACCAGCATGAGTTTTAAGCTGCTGAATCTGGGACTTGAACCTCAGTTGACTATGTGGGAATTCAATGGTGTAACCATTATGCCATCTGCTGGTCTGGGAATCTCAATTTTTAACAAGGGCCTTGGGTCATTCTGATGATCAGGCAAGTTTGAAAATAATGGTTAAACCTGACATTACATTTGTTCTAACGATTCAAGCATAGATCAAGTACCTGTTTGTTAAGTGACTCAATGCTTCGCATGTAGAATGAACGCAAATGTTTGTTGACTACTGAGTGATGACATCACTGCTGGCACTAAGAAGTTGACTCAAAAATATGGTGGGCGGTGAGCAGGTGTGAGATACCTGACATTTAAGATTTGCCCTAAATAATCCATCAGGAGCCCGAGCTGCACGCTGAGCAGTAGATGGGCTTTGTCCGTTACATTGCCAGTCACCTTAGCCCTTCCAGCCTGGGGGCTCTTTTCCTGTTGTAGAGAAGTATACCATGGTGCTCTGGCCCATCGAGCCAGCTTCCACCTGTTCATGAAGGACAGAGATGAGCATGGCTCAGCCTCAGCCTCAGCCTCAGCCTGACATTTCCTGAATGTGACTGTGACTAGAAAGCGTGTGTGGGTCAGTATAGAGGAAACACCCGGGCCAGCCAGTGACATGGTGTTAAGGTGGCTGGATCCCACATGACTGAGTTCGTGGTTCAAGTCCCAGAGCCAGCAGCTTGAAAAACACAGCAGGTACATGTGCACGTGTGCCCAGAATTCCAAAAGGAAGGAGAAATGGAAAAGGGATTGATGCATGACCGTTTCCTCCCATCACCCCTCATTCCCATGACCCATCTCTCTCTAGCAAGTGCATACACCCTCTGGCAAAATTAAAAAAAAAAAATTAAGGAAACCTCATTTCTAAAACGAGTGGGAGAGTGTCAAGAGCCACCAGAATGGAGCCAGAGCCCCAGCTGCTGCTTCTGCCAGGGTGTGACCAGCTCGTTCATGTTACCATTGGTTATTTTTTGGCCCATCCCAGAAAGAGGACATCCCCCTTTTACTGAAAGGTAAGATAAAGTAACACGATGAGAGTAGGGGGTGTTGGTAAGACGGGAACTGGGGGCCCGGAGTCCTGGGCCCTTCCTCTAGCCTTTTTCCTCGCCCCCTCTGAGAGTTTCCACTGGTGACAACATTTACTGTAAATTCTGTGCTCCGTCGAGCCTGGGCAAACCCCAAGGCACGAGGGAGGGGCCGGGGTAGGCCCGCTCTGACCTTCTCTCCTTCTAGAGGCAGGCCCAGCTTTCGGGAAGTGACAGCAGGTCCTTCCTCCCTAAGCAAGTTCTGCAGAGCTTCACGGGCTATCTCACTGCCTCTTCCTCTCCCCTGCATGTAGATCCCAGAGCTCTAGGGAGCGTTCATAACCGCTGCCTGCCTCTAACCAGAAAACACCCGCCTGTGACAAGAAACCCATCTCTACCTTGGGAAGCAAAACTGCTTCCTGCCAAGGCCCCAGAGAAACCTGCTCTGCCAGCCCAGGGGCCTGCAGCCAGCCTGCCACTTACAAGAGAAAGGGTTTGACTTCCTTTGCAAGAGGAAGTGGCTGATCTGGGGCCTTGCCCCCCCACCCCACATCCCCACCTGCTATTGCTCAGTCCACTCTGACCCTCCTTGGTTGTTCATGCTCTGGAAAGGGCTCACACGGCTGAAGGGATGACCGGCAAATGTGGTTATAAGAAACTGCAAAACATGGAGCAGCTTTTATCCTGCAGTACAGCGGGCATTTCCCAAACTTCTGGCTCCCCACTGGGGACTGGGAATCTAGAACTCAGGGGGAAGAGGAGAGGAAAGTTTGGGAAGGAAATTTCTTTTTCTTTCTTTCTTTTTTTTTTTTTTTTTTAATTTTTTAGAGACTTTTGCTATAGGGCGCGTGCGCTCCCCAGAAAGACAGAGAGAGAGAGAGAGACAGAAAGTGAGAAATCATCCCCCAGGGGGATGGCCACACCGCAATCCCTTCTCCACTCTCTTCGCGGGATCATGGGCATGCACGCACAAGCACCTGGCGTGAGTTGAAGCCACTGGGTTCGGGACTCAAACTGCAGTCGACTACATGGGAGTCCAGACATATTATGCCAACTGCTGGTCCCGGAAAGGAAATATCAGCATCTTCCTTGCACATCCTCTGCTGCAGTGGGCAGGGGGTGAAGGGAGACTGAATTTGGGCATTTTACCTCATCCTACTTTTCTAAATTCATTTAGGCCCACCAGGCTCCTCACAGTAATGCTCTGGGATGGACATAGAAATCCAGCTATCATCATCCTCATTCTACAGATGAAGCCAATGGGACTCTAGGACAAGCCTATTCCACGTACCCTTGAAAATGAGCACAGGCTGCTGGCAACAGCTACGAGGAGAAAATGATAAGATTTATTTCAAGATACCTGTTTTCTCAGAAGTTCTGAAACTTTCAGTGATTGATCCAAAGTCCCATGGCCAGGTAGGGACTGAGCAAGGCTTGACTTGAACTAGGTGAATAAAGACTTGACTTTGGCTGGCATCACAGCAGACAGAGGTTTCCAGAGAACACTAAGGAGTTCTCAGTGACCCTCGTGTCTTCCAAGAGAAAGCTGAGCCTGGTTTCGGTGACTTGTAAATGTAATGCAACACAAGAACTCCAAGCTTGTCACACTTGCATTCACAGAGTTGACCATCTGCCTCCGCAGCTGCGTTGTGAGAGAGTCACCTGTCCAGCTGCTCTGTAAGAGGGTTGACTCGAGGCCAGACCTCCTTCCAGATGCAAAGCCAGGACCTAACACATGGCAATGGTGGGCTCCATCAGTGGTAACTGGGGACAGGGGTCCTGGGTCCTAGGTCTAGCCGGTGACCCTTGGTGACTTGCTTTCCCTGTTGAGCTCTATTTCACTTTAAAACAACTGGAGCTGGCTCCATGGAGCAGTGATAATGCACTGCTCAGGGGAAGCCAGATCCCACGTGGCAACTGAGGTTCAGATCCCTGGCCCAGTCAGCCTGAAACACATCGGGCATACACCCAAGTGCCCAAGACCCAGTGGGTTGAAAAGCTTGAGGAAGGAGGAGACCTTACCCTGTGGAGGGCTGTTTCTCATTCTCCTTCTGTGTCTCTCTTTTTCTCTCTCTTTCACTCTCACTCTCACATGTACGTGCATGCATACGCCATCATGAATAAAGAGAAATAAAATAAAACTTAAAAACAAAAACAAAAACAAAACTCAGGAAGATTGGATCAAAATAATGATTCTCAAACCTGGGCCACACACTAGGACTCCCTGGGGAGCTTTAACAGGACTGATGTCTAATTCTAATTAATAGGTCGGGTACAGCCTTGGCCTTGGGTTGTTAAAGACTCTCCAGAGGATTCAACAGACAGCTAAGGTTACAGACCACAAGACTAGAAGA